CTAATACCTACTCAATTCAAACTATAAGTTTGACGTTTAGTTTATCAGAATAAACCCATCTCATCATCTCATAGCTCATAATTTGAAAAATACGCAACTCAAATGAAGAGGTGACTTGTAAGTTCACTGTTTATCTGCATATGAAATAAGAAGAGAACTACTCCTTTCTACTGGAGGCCCAAGTCTCGTCACTTCAATATCAGGACTTAAAGACTCCAAATTTGAGTAGAGGAATTGTCAGGAATCAGCACAGAAGCAGAATAGTATCTCTCATCCGCTAGAGACACAGCTATTCAACTTTTGCAGTCTTCCTCATCTTGCAGAAGTGCAGCCAAGCCATTCATTTCTTACTCAAAGTGTGTACGGATGAAGCCATAGATCTACAGACTGTCCCCTCTGTGACTGACATTGTGCTGTGTAAACAATGTTATATACTCCAGCAGGAGGACATTTGAATTTATTTATAAAAAAATGATTAAGAAGATTCATTAACTCAAACAAGGCTATTAACTCCCAAAGGTATTTTTGGAACTTATCCTTGTGCTACTTGTAAAGTTAGCACTGTCATGTATTATTGCTTACAAACAGTACATCATCATATGCCTTCTAACAGAGCGGTACTGTAATCAGTTCGTACGTATTTACAGGCTTTTTTGTTTGTTTTTTAAACAAGCTATAAAAACATTACATACTTTACAGACAATACAAATACTCAAGTCAAACAAATGGAATGCATAACAATAAGAAACATCATAAAGGAAGACTGACGTAAGTCCTTGATTGTCAAGACACATTTATATTTATATATAAACTCTAGCTGTGCAGAATCAAAGATTCAATCATAGGTACATCCTTATTTGATAAATCATATTTACAGCATGATATTGCATAAAAAAATAAAATAATGTTGTTTACACAATATTACCTTTCCATCCATTGGATTAAGGAAAGCAAGAAACAACTTAGAAATGTTTGCTTGCTTCAGTTTGTGTTTCCTACCAAAAGATGTAATTTTAAAAAGGAAACGTAAGGTTTTATATGCTGAGTAGAGCAAAAGCGACTATAAATTTATTTCCCTGACACAAAGCAAATTAAAATTGAACAAAAGTTTAAATTTTAACTTAAAGACATGTCTTTTCATTAGCAGTAATACTTTCTTAGTACTTGTCCTTTGCAAAGTGAGTTTTAGCTAAATGCATTACATGCCTAACATAAACATGCATTACCGTAAGTTGAATGAACTTTCAAAGTTACAAGGCTTCATTTTAGTAAAACATTTAACACTAGGAAACTGTAACATTATTCATTTGCTTCAGTACCAACCATGTAATTTGAAAGTTCACATGTGTACTGGTACCGACTGCATAAGCATATTTCTGCCTGTTAAAATTTCCAAACGGATTCCCAGGAGTATTGGGATTTTCCCTGCAATTTGTAATGGTATTAAAACAAGCAAACAAAGAATTAAAAAAAAAAAATCAAAGCTCTCAAAGCCAAAAAAATTTAGTTTAGCAAATATACATACATAAAGTAATCCAATGCTGCAAAATTCAGAGTGGATTCATCCAATATTCTGGTTCATTTCAAATAGTTACTACATATGATACAAATACTATAAAAATATTCTGAACAAGCATGGAATATAATGTATCTGTCCAGGTGGAAAGTTTTCATAGGAGAACATGAATATTTTAGAATAAACTCCAAAAGTTACAGTAGAACCCCAATAATTCGCAGCAATGCCTTAGAAACCCTTTATAAATGACAATTTTGAAAATAGTGAAGAAGCAGGCAATAAAAGCAAGGATGTCACATCACAAAATGTACTTTGTTCATTTATTTTGACAACTGTAATTTAATTTTCAATACTTCTTCTACCTCCCAGTATACTAATATAGATTCTGTAGTATACTTGGGTGAAGTAGTACAGTATTACTAATATGAGACCCTGCTACAGTACTTTTTAGACCATTGCAGAGAGGTGGGGAAGAGACCATCGGGGATGTATAAACCTATCGGATGCTCTGATTAGCGGTCAGCGAATTAGCAAGATTTTACTGTACTTCTCAACTAACAACGAAAAGCTCCCGTCATCCAAAAAACTGACAAGTACAATATAAAAATAATGCAAGTGTTACTTCACATGAATACTTTCTTGTCCTATTTTCTTCTTGAAAACACAATTTTCCTAAAGACAACACTAGGAGACACAAGATCATAAACATAATTCTTTTATCATCCAATTTAAATTGTTTATGCTGTTATTCATAAACCAACATACAGTGATACACATGGTTAATCCTTCTCTCCAAACTTTGTATTTTATGATTAATTCATTCTCAAATCAAATGAAGAAAATGTAAATGCCTATTAGTATACCATTACAAGCTGATTCCTTCATTGTCTGTTATATTAATGGTAAAACATATCAAAGGATTCATGCTAAAAGGGACACTGTCAAGTAATTTAGGACCCAAATATGGCCTATTAATATGTGTGTGTATATTATATATATACACACACACAAACATGTATTGTATATACATATATAGTTTGGTAATAAATGTCATCGACTTCCTCTTTTTTAAAATCATCATTGCTCTATCACTAGGAAATATCCCCCAAAAATTCCACCTTACCCACACACACACATTCAGTGCTTGCATGACCTTTAAGTAAAAACGTCTGTTGTTAGCTCTGTGGAATATAAATGCTCAGCCCAGCCCTATGCTGACTGACTGAACAATATCAGTACAAGAACAGAACAGAAAACCAAAATCGCTTTTTTCTAGACATACACGGAAAACTAACAAAAATGGACACTGACCAGATCAAAATGAAGAGCGTGCATCTGTAGCAGATTAAAAGCAGCAAAACATGAGCAGTGGAAAATGTTATTAAATAATGTAATTATTAAACAAGCAAGAGCTTTTTACATAGTTAAACCTCCCAGAACTACATACACACTTATTCCAGAATAAAAGGGCACGTACTCAGGAAATCATAGCAGTATATTTGGTTAACTCCTCCAGTACAGAAAGCTTCAAGCATCAGCGTTATCAACTACTCACACCACCGCTGTCACTGTACATGTGGAAGAACCCTACGAGATAGTCCCCGTGGGCTAGACGGGGACTTCACAACCTGTCCTAAGGCACAGAGTATAGCTGTCATGGCTCAGCAGCAGGCTAAGGAATGAGCTGCGACATAAGGAATAACGGTTCCTCATCTGACTCCCACTTGGCTCCGGGGAAGAGGAAGTTCCTTCACTCTGTACAATAGCTTGCTCACTCATGTACCCAAGCAGCAATTCCTAAGCGTCAAGATGGCATGGAGCGAGCGCTACTCCCTTCTACTCCTCCATCACTTTCTCACAGCAGAGGATCAATGCAATAATTTCTTAAAATACAGCTGAGTCAATCTCCTTTGGGAGAAGCAGGCTTTATTCCTCTTACCTCCCTATGGGGCCAGAGAAGTGCAGTAATAATCTAGCCCTTTTATTTTATTTTGGCTTTTGCTGCTTGTTGTATTTAACAAATAGTACTATTAATGGCCACCTACTTGCAGCAACAGGACATTAGAACAAAGATGCCAACACAGTATTATTCAGGCAGCACAAGCTAGGATGTCATGGAAATGAAACAAGCGTTACAAGAAGTGGCTTCCTGGGATATAGGGGCCATAAGTCTTATGACTGTGCAAACTAGTATGGAAAGTCAAAAAACCAAACTGACCATAAAGGAAGAAAAACAGAGAGACATGAGTAAGTTTAAAAACATTCTTTCAAATAAATTTGTTTACATGTATCATTAATAATCCATAAGGAATTTACTATTCTCCCTTGATGCTCATTCTTCACTCAGACAAAATTACTGGTAAGTCATAGCACACTGAAACACCTTCCTATGTTATACTCAGGGTCAATAAATCAAAACAGAACCTGTTTCCTTATGCAAAAGTACTAAGGAAGAAGTTTACATAAACTGTATTTCTTGTCAATATAAGAAGCAAGCTATGGATAACAAATGCACTTTCTCCCTCAACTGTACCAAGTGAAGTTAGTGCTGTAATAGTGATACCATAAGGGAAAAGAGACAGAGTGGGATCAGTTTCCTAGTAATGAAAATTAAGAAAAATATTGCTACTGCTTTGGGAAGAGGTCGGAACCGTTTTATGTCCTGCTCAAGTCCTGTCTTAAAAGACAGGATATATTTTAGCCCCTTGAGATGCAGTCTCTTCTCCTAGTTGATGGCTTCACCTGAGAGATACCAGCTAGCAATACTGCTGTAAAAGGATGTATGTAATCCTATTAAAACAAAACAAAACATATACATAGATACCTATATATATACACGTGGGTGTGTGTATGTGTGTGTGTTTTTCCCTGGTTAATCAGCCTACATTAGGCTTAAACTGCCTTAAACTACCAGACAGTGTCCCTTTAGGGAAGGTGCAATAGAATGAACATACAGTTCAAAAATCTGTAACTTGTTAACTTAAACTACACAATAGTTATGCTACTCAAATCTTACCACCTTAAAAATGCACACGGAACTAGTTATCGTACCATACTGCATACTTCAAGACAAAGTACTATTCAAAAAAACATATTCATGGTACAGGGATAAACTTTGTAGTTTATTTATACTGTGAAATGCAATGAAAACTTCTGATCACTCGCCTATGCTGGAAAAAGAAATCCTGTTCACTAGCATTATTCAGCAGTTTTGGTTGGTAAAATTGTAATGACTTTCACTAAGCAAACACTAAAAAGATAGGGAATTTGAATGCCCACTTCTTCAGCTTTCGCAGATATTTCAATAAATTTAATGATCTGAATTGTCAAAATTCTAGACAGAGAATTAAAACAGTTTTTACAGAAGCTAAGAATACCCAATCTCAATGTATATTGAAAAGAATAATTGGAGCTGTATGAGATGAAAATGATGAAACCGTATCAAACCTAAAAATGGTTTTATTTTTTGAGAAATCAAAAACTAAGTGCTCTATGTTAATCATTATGAGTATGTAGGGTAAGGTACAATTAAGCTTTTAAATCTTGGAATACACAGCATTATGCAATTGGGAATGTCATCTACAGAGTATTTTAACTAAAACTTCAAAATCTTGATACCTGCGTATGAAAAAGTCATTAAAAAGTTACATCTAGATTCAGCTGTACAAAGAAATACACATTACTTCAGGAATGAAGTAAAGGCTTTAGCAGTTAGGCATTTTGCTTAAAAAAGTGTTTAAAGTATTTTAAATTAATTAGACTCTTAAATAGTAGAGTTAGTCTATCAGAATTCATTTTTTCCTCCAAACGCAACTCAAGGTAATGCAAAGCAGAAATAAAGGGCACGTGGTCTAAAATTATTTTTGAGAGAGATGGAAGAAAGATTATTTTTCTAGAAAATGCCATTTTTTAAAACCATATTTACTTGACTTTGAAACTTACTGTTTATTCTGTGTGTTTAGTACATCTTGATTCCCTGCTGAAGAGCAATGACTATGCTGACAAGCTTAGAAATGACAGTATGAATAGTATCAGACAATAAACTGTCCTCCAAAAGCATACAAGGAAACCAGTAAGGAAACAATCATGGGGGAAGTCTTACCTGGGGATTTTGTTTATTTTAAATTTCATAGAAGGTAAAATATTTTCTGGATTCAAACAAGTGAATAATAAACTGCCTTTCATAGGGGCACCAACATCAGGCAGTTCAATGACTGGTGACTAACCCAAAAAAAAAAAGAAAAAAAAAAAAAAAAAAGAAAGAAGCAGTTATTGGTCTTGCTAATATCAGCTTACTTTTGTTTTAACATAGCGCTCTTAAAAGCTGTACAGAACTCCATCTTATACAGAGCAACCCCCTTTTGACAAATGTGTTCTAAAGTGCCAGTATTATTTACAAAGATTTCTTAGCCAAAAGTCTGGCCCGTTGTGGCATCAGGTGAAGAAGTCATCCCAGCTCTGCTATCGTTTACATTCACCAAGGGAAATTCTGGGAAATCAGCACTTGTCCCTGGTCCCCGAAGGTTCACCTGTCCATTGGCAGTGCTAAACTGAGATGATATTCCAGCCCTTGCCCCATGGTACTGAGCTCTAAAGGGCTGCTCAAAGGAGCTAATTTGATATGCTTGATGAACAGGCTGTGCCTCTGCTTTCTTCTGAGAAGTTACTTGATCCAAGAAGTCCTGTGTAGAGGAGGAAGAAGAATGATTTGCCTCATCACCTGAAAAGGGAAAAGGGTGCTGCGAATCACCAACCATTAGTCCAAAATGAGACTTGTCTGGAGTTGTTCTTAATGGAGAGTTCATTCCCGATCGAAAGCTATTGACGGGTATAGACGTGTAGACCTTCTCCATGGAAGGAAATGCTGGCTGGGTTGTAAGAGTCTGGTTATCAGTCACAAAATTAAGGCTTGAGTTGTTCAAATAGGCATCATTTTGGCTAGTTCTGTCCAAAGCTTGTTGTAAAAACTTTGAATACTCTTGTAACATACTAGCTTTATCTGATGAAGAAGCTTGAGAGCTTGTTCCAACTGTCTCAGATTGGGTGACCTCAGATACTTCAGAAGAATTGATTGATATACTGGAGGTCACCTCAGTGTCAGCCACACTGAAAGATATCTCATGTTGTCCATTAGCCTTGTGTGAATAATGATCTAACAGAGTTTGCAGTACCTCATCTGGAATGACATTTTTGTCATGGTTACCTTTAATTTCAACATTCAGTGCCTGTGTGTCTAATATTGAGGCTGTAGCAGTTTCATCAATGACGCTGGCCACAGCTGCCTGTGTTACTGAAGGTTGAGATGCTATGGTACTGACATTCAAGGCGTATTCTCTACTGTTATTACTAGCTGCTTGTAGATACCTCTTTTTCTTTAAAAACTGCATTGCATCATCATAATTAGTGCTGCTGTGTACAGGTTTACTGGGCCCTTCCTGTAATGTGTCAACTTGATCAATGTCAGCATTACCTTCAGAGTCCAGTAAACTTTGCTTATCCACAAGATCAAAGGCATACTTTGAAACCTTGTTGTCTTCATACGTGGATAAAGGTGAAATGGTTTGACTTTGCTCAAGTGGCTGTTTCAGACTCCTCTTGCTGTTAACTTTTTTGAGAACAAGCTTAGGTGGGTGTATTTCTCCAGAATTTGCTTCTTCTAAGTGTGTCCCACTGACCGAAGAATGTGGCATCTCAACAGCATATTCCGCTACCATATATTCATCTTTTACTTTAGTACTAGAAGAGTACAAAGGCAAATAGTCATTTTTGTCCTTCTTCTGTTCTGATTTATCCATACTTTCCTTATCCCCAGATTTTGTTTTCTCTGTTTTCTGCCTTTTCTTCTTTGGCAAGGAGCTGTCTTTCATAGGCGTAGAGAAACCAGAATCTTCCTCCGATGGCAAAAAGCCAACTTTGGTGGCACTTCTGTTCGGTTTCTTGTCGCGGTTCTCATGGCACATACGTTTATGTTTCAGCACCCGATCAGTCCTGGAGAAATACTGCAAAAGATTTTTTTTATTATTATTATTACAGAAAAATAAATACATTAGCAGAAAGAAAAGAAACCTTTCATTCTAACAAATTTACTTGACAACTTATCCACTTTACCGACTTCTAATGAAGTATATAATCAATATATATACAACAGTATATAATCAATAAAATCAAGCACAGGCAGTTGTGACTCTGCTCCACTTGTGTACCAAGACCGCCTACCTTAACAGAAAAAACACTCTTTATACATTTATTTGTATTCACATGACTACAACACCTGGAGAAAATCCTATCTGTACTACTTGGAAATTGGCTGGTGTTTTGTTTTTTAATTGCGAAAGATTTGACTAGGTCATCTTACCTGCAAACAATATTCACACTGATAAGGCTTCTCTCCACTGTGAGTTCTTTTGTGCCTTTCCATGTGATACTTCTGAATAAACCTCATGCCACATTCATCACAACGAAATGGCTTCTCACCTGAAAAAAAACACGTAGCAATATTAATCTAAAAAAATAAACCAATGTTCTTCCATATAATTACCGGGTCAAATACTACATTCTCTAGTAATAAAGAACAGGACTTAGTCTGTTGCTATTGAAAAATAGCATGGGGCTTGCTCACATCACTGTTTTCCCAGGACTCAGTAGCTGATGCTTCAAAATTATGGTAAGGTTTTACACTAAAAACCTTTAAAACTAGATTTTCTCCCTCTCTTTCTAACATAGGTGCAGATATCTGTCTTAAACCTAACAAAGGAAGAACTACAAAGATAACCTTCCTAAACTGCTGCTACATCTTTTTTTTTTTTTTTAGGGCAGAAGATTGTATAAAAATACCTCAATTTTCTCAATAACTCATTTAGCTCAAACCCATCCCTTCTAAAAGAGAATTATGCATTTCCAAGCTTTTAATTTAAAATTTTTGGAGGGTACTCTGTATTTTCCACATTTTTTTCCCCTTCTCTGTATTTAGAATTGAAATAACTGCTCTGAAAAAAATCCTAAAATTTTGATTGAAACCCAAATTCATTTATTTTGTTTTCGTTTTTCAAAAAATAATTAATTAATTTTAAAAATATTTTATTTAAAAAATTAAGCTGAAAACAAGAAACCTCTGTAGCTGAACTGACGCTGGCAAACTCACGTTTTTCTGTTTGGCTGTTTTGTTTGTTTGTTTTGTTTTTTACTTTCATGAAATATTTGTTCAGACAATATTCATTGCCCTGAATTCATCTTCAGTTCTCCCCTTATTTTTCCTCTGTTTGGCTGTTTTGTTTGTTTGTTTTGTTTTTTACTTTCATGAAATATTTGTTCAGACAATATTCATTGCCCTGAATTCATCTTCAGTTCTCCCCTTATTTTTCCTCACAAAGAAGCCCTGATCCTTTCAGTTCAGAACATGTAGTAACTCTCTCTCTGTATTTCTTTTAACTTTTGCCTTACATCTTCCCTCTGATATTTTTATTTTCTGGGTTTCTCTGAC